TATTATTTTTCTCCTTTAACTTACTTTTCCATTTTTATCCAGGTTTCACAGAAGAAACGTTTTCTCTTTTTTACCTAATTCTTAATTCTAATCTTTTTCATCAGTTTTATTTTGCTTGTAAATTCTTTTAGACTGTCCTTTCTGATTTGTATCTGATTTCTTATCATTTTGCCTCAGTATGTTTCTGTACAGCCCCTTGAATATGTCTATAAAATGTGCTTTATAAACCAAACTGCTTTGTCATATCAGTGAATATTGTTGTATAGAAGTGCATATTCCAGAAAACATCTGGAAATTAAAATGAATACAAACCAGGATTAAGCTTTGATGGGTACCAAGTCTCAGTGGACGATGATGCTGATAATGATGAAGAAGGCATATTAGTGGGACTAATATGATTAGTGTAGGTATTATTACACATGCATTACCTGTGACACTCTTCAATCTTAATTGTGAAATAAAGCTGTTCCCTCCTGTCGCTCAGAGCTCAGGCAGAGCCTCAGCCTTTTACCTGGATGACATCAGTGATTCAGTAGTCCGGCCCGGCCCGGCCTGTCTCGGCCTGGGCCGGGACACCATCAGCATCACTTCACCTCTCCACGTTTCCAAGTCGCTGCCAGCGGAGAGCCCCGGCCTCCTCTGGCCGCTCATTGGAGACGCGGGACGCCCGTCAGGAGGAGCCAACTCCTGGCTATTCCCCATCCGCGTGCTGGGTCGGAAGTGGCCGCCCTCTCCCTCTCCTCCATTGGACTGAGCCGCTGTCAGTCGGGCTCACTCACGCTGAACACCGTCCTCCTCTCCGGCTCTCTGTCTGCCGAGACCTCCGTCATATTGGCTGCTAGAGGCAGCTGCGACCACGGCAGGAGCAGAGACCCCCACCATGGCGAGGAACGGGCTTTTGCGGCACTCAAAGAACAACTAAATCCTCTGAAATACTTTGGATTAGTATTGAACTGATTAGAGTGGAAATATTCGGGATGGTACCTCCAAGTATCCGCGTACCTCTAGTGCTTTCATCCGACACCGTGGTCCGCAGAGGGGATATGTGCCTGACTTCTCTTAATAGCCATTTTCTGCAGACAAAGAGAGCTGTTGAATAGGCTTCCACAAGGCACCCGGGTAAGATCGGACTTCTGGAAACTAACCACGACCCGTTCGACACGTGTCTGCGCTGCATGTTTAACCAGCACAGCACCGCTCGGTTCATCCATATCATTTTATCTGTCGATCTTTTTTTCACATGCTAACACGCTAACCCCCGCTAGCTGGCTGCTTAGCCAGAGCTAGCTAAAACGCCAGAAACCCCTATTCTGGTGAATGCTAACCCGTTAGCATTTTTTGACAGCTCGTAAGCCCGAGCTGTAAATTAGCCGTCTTTTAGTAAACTGTTTAAAATCCGTTTCTGATTTTCTCAAGAATAAATGATGTATACCCGAGCTAAGCTGCTCAGCTACATTGGAACATATCAGCCCGGCTAATGTTATCTCCGAGGCTGAAGCCACATTTAGCGGTGCACTGGGTCTGGCTTTGGATGGTTAACGTGTTAGCATGTCAGCTAACTTGGCTGGAACCTGGGTAAAGTGGGGCCTCCAGAACCTAAAGGCCTTCCAATCATTTCGATAGACCCGCTATAGTAACGTTATAGATCGGTTATTGTATTGATATACATGCACATATTACATAGGGCTGTCCATTTAAATCTGTATGAAAAGATCACATTGTAACGAAGGCAACTTAGATGATGCAGGGTTGACATTTACATACACGTTTTTTTACACAATAGCAGTTTACTACAAGTTATTTCTAATCTGCTTTAAATGCTTTCTTCATGAATTGCTTTTTTAAAACAGCTAACAGATCTACATGAGAGCAGAATACTGCGTATGCTTGTACTATGTTAATAACAGTGCAATGGTGAGCTGCAGGACTTCATTTCATATGTGCATATACTTTCTGCCTCTGTTTTGAGGAATATCACATCCACATTTTAGTTATATTCATTGAGATCAAATAGGAGAATCAAAGTGTGTTATCAGTCATTTGCAGACCCCCCCAGATATCTTCAAAAATGTGAGTTGCTACAGATATCTTATTAACTCTGGTCTGATCTCAGCAGAGAAGGCGCCCTCCCATAATCTTGTCTTCTCTCCAGCCCTCTCTTAGATCAGCGTGTGATCCCAGGAGAATGGGTGTGTTGGGCTGCCAGAGAGCAGAAGTAGCCTAGTTCTGTGTCAGGGCGACTTAAAATGGTTGTGGACTGAATTGCCCTATTGGTGTGGCCATTGTTATCAGTGGCGACTGTCCAAGAGAATTATATAAGACAATGATGGTTTAAGTAATACGCTTGTGAATTAGCTGAGCAGAGTTGATGCTGGACAGAAATCAGCTACATGAGATGCCTTAGCATTAGCATCCTGCTGCAGACATACTATTCAATTTCTTGGTTGTAAAGTTGTCGCTTCATGGACTTTGTGTTATGCAATGGTTTAAATCATCAAAACCATTTTTGTATTAGTATAATACACTGACCTGATAGGTATTGATGTTATTTTACTTTCGTTTGACCAGACATGTGCAATATCATTATTACAACTGTAGTATGCGGTAAAGGCAGGTGTATTAGGTGGCGAGAGTCTTGCTGTCACAGCGACAACAGGCAGTTTTAATCCAGTTTGGATTAATATTGGAAAGTTGGTTAAAGGTAAGATCAGTTGTTGTTGTACAGACATGGGCATCTGAAACACACATTTCTATTGTAAATGACCAAGAATGGTTTAAAAGCATAAACCATAACCAAAACCTGCTTTAACTTTTTGAGAATGTGTCCAAACATTTAGACATTTCTGTAGATTCTCTTATTTTTTTTAAGAATAGGCCTCCAACAGCATTTCATCTTGATCCACAAATACCAATTACATTTACCTCAAAACCCAGAGGTTAGAATTTCACAAAAATAGGTGTCCTCGTCTCTAAGTCAAGTCTTAATTAAAATCTGAAGTGCCTTATTGATTGGTGCAAGCAGGCATGGCTTATCACATCTTTGTTCATAACTCAAGAGGCCTTCGAGCAACCCTGATTAAACCCACTGATGACATCTTCTGCTATCTCCAGAAGATTCACATGGTTTCCTCCACAGCTGATGAAATGAGGACAAATGTTGGAACTTTGATTGCACAATGAATAAAATGCACAATACAAACATTCTCATGATGAACTAAGTGTATGATTCATCTCACGCGGTCTTTAAACAGAACAACAAAGCAGTCATGTTGTTTTTCCTTACTACTTTCATTTGTGACATTTTGCTGGCTTGCACCACTTCTATAATTGTCTAATTACATTGATTTCATCATTTTGTTAAAATTCACCCTTGAGATTTCTGGATTTTAGCACAAATTGAATATTAAAAACTACTTGAAGCATCCGTGTAGCTTCTCTCTTGATACTTGTATGTTTAGGATAAAGCCATTTATAGATTTATAGATATAGAGAATATGGAGTAGATTAGTGAACTAATATTGTTGCGCACATACTTGCAGATTCAAAACATTTTCATGGTTAAACTCCCAGACTTATGTCCCTAAGCCTGTTGTGCTATTAAATCGTGCAGAGAGTCATAGTTAATTTATAGGCTTGTCCAATGGTCACTGGAACTTTTCATTGTTTGTATTTTTTCAAGTGATTAGCTGAGTTATGAAACACGCCAACCCAGATGGAAAATCCAGCCTCTCAAGATGGTACTGATATAATACGAGCCTCACAATTCCAGTTCAGCAGGGTGGGAACATGTAGTTGTACTTAAGGAATTAGTGCATTCATGCTGCTGGTACAATTACAGAATTAAGATAAATGCTGTCAAATTTAGACTGTGGTTAGTAAGACTTTGTGCTCCAACACAAAAATTTATGAACCAGGGGTAATTGTTGGCATATTTTCTGATTTCTAAAGCAAGTGGGATTGGTTGGACAAATGTTCAAGTAAGTTTTGAGGCATTTGCTCTTATCCACCTAGATAGTTGTATAAGGAATTGTCAATATGTATAAGTATGCTATTAACTATTGAGCCAACATGTAGAAGTCACACTAAAATAAACTTTGTATTTACACATTTTTAACAAAACTAAAAGAAACATTATTTATTGAAACCCATTCATATCTTGCCGAAAGTCAGAATTTGTGTTAATCAATCAGGTGTAGTGGGTCGGGGATCACAAATTATAGGAATATTTACCTTTGCCAAGGAGGTTATGTTTTGATTACTGTCAGTCTGCAAGCAAGAACACCACGAAATTTGGTGGCAGGATGTAGTATGGGTCAGAGAAGAACCATAATTTTTTTTATTACTTTCTTTCACATTGAAAATATTTTTCCTTTGTTTTTTAAATGTATGTATTTACGGATCTTGATGGCATGACATATTTAGGGCTTTGATTTCTTTGAGTGTGTGAAATTTGATGCAGCTTGATAGAATTTAAAGTGATTATTTGCCCATAGCAGATGTATCCACTCTACCGAAACATTTTAGTTTTGCTAAATAAATCTGAATCATCAAATGTTAGTTTGAAGTTTTAGACAGACTAATTAAACTAATGAATAGATTGACAGACTTTGCTAGCAATGTTATTATAAATCAATGATTACTATGAAGAATAGGGCTTGAACCAATGATCATTTCCATCATTTATTAAACTGACAGTAATTTTCTCAATTAATCATCTGACTGAGAAAATGCCCATCACACCATCAGACAGCCCAAAAGTAATGATTTGCATCGTTCGAAACTTAAAGTAAATTTCCAAGAATCCATTATCAAAATAGCTGGCAAATAATTTTCTTTTGATTGCTTAGATCATTAGTCAAGATTTACTTAGTTGGCATGTCATTATTTGTGCATCTGTTGGACAGCTGTATGATGCACTGTGCGAAGACTTGCCATATTGTGAGGAATCATAACCAGAGCTTGTGCTGTGGGTAAAGTGCCAGTGGTTTACCATACACCAGGAATGGCATTAAAAGGTGATTATTGCCTCGGTGACATGTCACAGATTTGAGTGCACCTTAACTGGAGCCAGCTCTGCTTACCTGCAGCATTTTGTCTAACCAGTTAACAGTATGTATTTTTACTTGGGACCCGAGCAGACTGTAGCACTAGTTGGCTGCACTTGTTTCTGTCTTGGCATAAATGTGTGGGGATGTACATTTCTTAATGTCACGTGATCATATGCCAAACAGAAAAGATAGCTGTTGAAAGATGAATCTGTGCCATATTTATCACGTTTGTGCATGTCGCACATACTGTATGTTCTGATCAGATGCGTTGGCACACGAAAATATAACATTGAATGAAATCACACCCCATTTAAAAAGTTGACTGTTAATCCTCAATCAGAATGATTTCAATCTGATGTGGAAAAAACTGTGTAAGGTTAGTGACCGATGTTGTTAATGTTGTTCAATATCCCCTGGGAAATGATGAATCAGTGAAGAGTATTTTTGATGAGGTAGTGGCCACTGTGTACAAGGATTCACATTTCACAGCATAAATATATAGTCATATTCATTAAGAAGTAATTATTGTGTTAGAAAATTAGAAAACCCTATTTAATTTTGTTTTCCTCTTAAGAGTTAGGGTGAGTAAATTAGCACAACATTTAGATTGTTTTGTAATCTAAATGTTGTTTGGCAAGAAAATGAACAATGTCACTTGAATTAAGACTCCAATAAGAAACATAGTTTGCAAGCTTTTAATGAACAGGTAAAAGGGCCAAATATTGATTAATGATCTGAAGCTCTGCATGATTTATTAATAAAGATCTGCAACAGCACACAAACAGCATCACACTTCAATCAATGTGTGTGTATGTGTCCATGTACTTTTGGGAACAAATGTCAGACTTGAGACCTGTTAATGGGAGACACTTTGTCAAAATGGGGACAAATCCATGTTCCCAATTGAGAAAAAGTAAATTCTTTGTCAGTGGTTGGGGCGGGGGTCCAGGAAATGAATGTGAGAAAATGTAATGTCTTGTGGATGCTGCATTGATGACATGGGCATCCGTCAGGGAAACTTTGAACAAACTTGCATTTGCTGAATCTGCAAATCTCAAGCCAGTGGCACTGACATGGGTGAGATGGTAGTTAAGTTGATGTAAGGAGGAGCACTGAATTAGTGTTATCTTGTCATGCCCTTACCATGGTTCCCACAAAGTCACAGTTTACAAGTACATGTGTGGGAACCTTGTCAAATGACTATCAAAAGACTTTGTTCTATACAGACTATAGGTAGATCGTTATAACACACAGGACTCAAGTGTTCACTTCTTACTGATAAGCCAATGTCAACATGACCCAAATCATTTAAAAATGTTTGAGTCCAACCTGCTGGATCAGAGCCAGGTATCCATTCTCTGTTTTAACCAATTATTATGGAGTTATAAAAATAGGAGGATGACGTCTCATGGACCAGATAATGCATGTTGTCAGGGTTATTGTGTGCATGCACATTTCATACAGAATGAGTTAAATCACTGCATATTCAGGTATTTCACATTTGATGATGGAACGTATTCGTTTGAGTATTTTTTTCATAGTTATCCCAGCTATGTAATGACTGTCAAGTGGAGTACAAAGAAAGTCTGTATGTGGTTTGATAAAGATGGCCACATCTGGAGAGACGTCATGAGTTTGTTAGTGATGCCCTTAGAACTGCCCTCAGCAAATCAACTTTATCAGTCATGTGCTGAAGTCTGGTTTCCTGTGTAACACAGAACCATTGTCTGTCACAGCTGAACCAAAAAAAACCCATAATGTCTTTATCAATATCAGGAGGCAAAGTCTGCTTCCAGGTCAACATGATGCTAGGTAGCTGGCCAGCTGCTTTTGGCCCAGAAGCATATTGAGTGAGCTTATCAAAGACTAGAGGTGGGAAGATGTGAGGTAGACAAGTCACAGAGGGAATAGCACATGAAGCTAACGCTGACAGAGCTAGAAATTAAAATGTTCAATGAGAACTTTCATAACAAGTGCTTTGCACTGCTTGCAGCTTTTTTCTGGATGAAGTTATTGTTGGATAATTTTGTCAGTCACAGTTTATTTCAGTTTTCCTACATTTCTTAAGAATGAAGTAAAATATATTTTAACAGTGAACAACCAAACACTCTAAGGATTATAGAAGCAAAGATGTAAAACCTCAGTGTGAGGAGTTTGGTTTTGGAAATTTTCCATATTGTCAATTTATTTCATGTATCAGGCTGTTAGTTGCAGTGTTTTGCATTTTCTGGCAGCAACACTAAAATGTGAAGCCTAATTAATCCCTGAAGTCAAGAAAAAAATGTCTGAAACAGGGAAGTAGATGCTGCATTTCTGAAGCCTTTGAGATTTTGCGTTTGACAGGTCACACACCTGTGGCGACTTTGCTCACTGTTAAATGCAAACAAGGTTAGGTACTACTACTTCCAAATCTCTGTCAAATTCTGGTAGAGTAATAAATTAATGGCATATATGAGTGTGTGTGCATGTGCCCTGTCTGCTGCTGTTCCAGGGAAGGTTTTTGGTCAGGTCTAGACTGGCTCTGTAATACAGTACATACCAGCAGATCAGCTGTGAGCAGATCCAGGGTTCATTTATAGCTGTGGCCTTGTGTCCCTGCACGTCTGCCTGGCAACTCCTAACTCTGCTGTTCCAACTACTCAAGCTCACCCACCTCTCAGACACTTTGGCCCCGTTATACTCACACCATGTCTAATTACTAGATACACAGTAGTCTGGGGAATTTAAATATAGGACATTCTTTATATAACTTGAACCTCAGTATTTAATGTAGACGCTGTTGCAAGATTTCTCCACCTGTGACTAAGTTTTTCTGCTGTCACCTGCAGGTCCCAGGGGCTCCTGTTGATGAAGAAAGTGGGCAACATGTGGAGCAACCTGAAGAACAAATGCCAGACGCTGTTCCACAACAGTTCAGGACTCAGTGAAACCAGGGTTGAGGCAGATGCTGTCCACTTTGTTGTGGATCTTGGCCAAGGAGGCAGCTCAGGTGATGCGCATGCATCAGGAGCCTCCAGCCCATCACGGAGCCTTCTACCAGTGCCAATGGTAACAGCAGGACGCCGCCATCACAACTGTGTGTCAGAAATCCCTCAGATAGTAGAGATAAGTATCGACAAGGACACAGAGGATGTGCGAGGTGGGTCGGGGGGTGTTCCCCTCGCCAGGAGAGACTCCTATTCCCGTCATGCTCCATGGGGGGGCAAGAAAAAACACTCATGTTCCACCAAAACCCAGAGCTCTCTGGAAGCAGATAGGCGGTCTGGGCGTTTACGGGGGAGTGGGAACCGTAGGGACAGGCGTTACGGAGTCAGCTCCCTCCAGGAGATAAGCGACTCTGTATCTGGAGGACGCAGTCTAAATTCACGGTCTTTGCGTCAACGGCTAAGTGATACAGTGGGACTGTGCTTACCCCTCCCTGCTCGTAGACGCTCTCGTTCATCAAAGAACCCTGTCAGCTCCAAACGTAAGATTCACCTTACAGAGCTCATGCTAGAGACATGCCCCTTCCCACCAGGCTCAGACCTTGCTCACAAGTGGCACTTGATCAAGCAACACACAGCACCTGTCAGCCCGCATTCCTCCACTGCCCTGCTTGATGCCTTTGACCCGGCCCAGACCTCTCCTGAGGATGAAGAGGAACGTCTACGTGAGCGCCGCCGACTTAGCATTGAGGAAGGTGTGGACCCACCACCTAATGCGCAGATCCACACCCTGGAGGCCTCAGTGCCGGGCTCCTCTCTCTACAAACTGGGACCAAAGATGGCTCCTGGCATAGGAGAGGCCTCTGGGGATGGCCGGGCCTCAGGGACTGGCAGCTCCTTGGGTGCTGGATCATCAGGGGCCTGTGGGCCAGTGCTGGGGGCTTCAGCATCATCTCAGGACTGTGACTCTGAGGAGGATTCAACCACCCTCTGTCTGCAGGCCAGGAGGCCCAAGCAGAGGCATGCCTCTGGGGATGGTCACCAGAGCCGGCAGCAACCTGGGCCCTGGAAGGTTCACACCCAGATAGACTACATCCACTGTCTGGTGCCTGACCTATTGCAGATCACAGCTCTGCCCTGTTACTGGGGTGTGATGGACCGCTATGAGGCTGAGGCGCTGCTGGATGGACGGCCAGAGGGCACCTTCCTGCTGCGTGACTCAGCCCAAGAGGACTACCTCTTCTCTGTTAGCTTCCGCCGTTACAACCGCTCACTGCACGCCCGCATCGAGCAATGGAACCACAACTTCAGCTTTGACGCTCACGACCCTTGTGTATTCCACTCTTCCACCGTCACAGGACTGCTGGAGCACTACAAGGACCCCAGCACCTGCATGTTTTTTGAACCGCTGCTCACAGCACCTCTCCATCGAACCTTCCCCTTTGGGCTGCAGCACCTGGCACGAGCTGCCATCTGCCGCTGGACCACGTACGATGGAGTAGGCTCTTTGCCGCTGCCCCCTGCCCTGCAGGACTTCCTCAAGGAGTATCACTATAAACAAAAAGTACGAGTACGCTGGCTGGAGAGGGAACCGCCACTCAAGGTCAAATAGGGTGGGCTTCTCCATCGCCTGTACACACACTGCAGGAGGATCACAGAACTTGAGAAATTCCTCATCAGTCAATTAGAGGCTATACTGATGTCTCTTCTTTTTCTGGTGAGGGATGGAATTTAAGTGTAACAAGCTATACAAGATTCATTCTAATCCTTGTTTTAGTTATTACTTACATCACAGAAAATACATATGATTATATTCAGTATAATGCTGTCTGGCAAGCACATGTTTTTGTGTTGAACTGGTTGTTTTGACAGGGAGGGAAAGCACAAATATCAGTGCTTTGTGTCATTTCTCTCCGCTTGTGCTAAATGTCTGCCTGATCCCACAACATCACCCTGTAGACCTGCCTGCATGTCTCCCATGTTCATCCCAAATTACTATTTAGGCCTACATGGCAACGTTGTACAGTTCACTTTGTGCTTTCTCTATTTTTTTTCCCTATTTTATTTCCTTAGCTTGTTTAAGCACCTAGTGGAGCACCTTCCCAGGATGGTTTTAAGGTGTGTTTGGGTTGACAGGGCATCTGGAGGTGCTATTGGTAAATTGCAGTCAGAGCTTGTCCCATGGATAAAGCTACATTAGGCACATTCTTTGCCATCTCTTTGCACGCATGAGGATCAGCTAAGCCAGAGACAGGAACAGATTCTGAGGGGGTCCACAGAGTTCAGGACAGCACATCAGGGAAATGAAGTGCTTTCTAAGGATAATAGATAAGTCCTTGGAAACTCTAGTTCCTTCTTAAACAATAAATCAGTCTGTGTTCTATTTAGTGAGATCCACTTTTTTCCCTATTTGTTTTTGAAACTAGATGGGCAGATTGAGGAAATACTCAAACCTTGTTACAGACGTCAATAGTGGTCCATCAGTTCTTCCCTGGCCACAGGCTCTTCAACTCTCTGTGCACATGTTCATCCAGTCCCAGTTCATTTCTTCCTGTATGAAAGTTAGCTCCTAGTGTAACATTTGAGCAGTCTGGTTTCTTTATGGAATTGCACTTAGGCTTTATAAGGTTTAGTTTTATACCTGTTTCCTTCAATCTACAGTTTTTAGTGGAATCTGGCCTTACAGGGTTGTATCCAATTTGGTTATTCTTTTATTTTCACCATACTCTTGTAACCTTGGTGCAGCTAGCTGTGCACTACTGTGAGGAATACTAACAGGTGTTGAAGTCAAGGGTGCGTGTGACAAGTTGTAGGTGAGGACAATCAATACAAATTCAAAATGCCAGTGTCCCTTTAAATGTGACTGACTTAATCTGCTCAAACTCGTTGGGAGTTTATTCCCCCCCACCTCACAACTTATTAGTATGAGGTCTCAACCCCAACAAATTCCCCTCCCTGCCTGGTTGCATTTACAGTCATGCATTGAGTGCAGGCCCCACTCAACTGGAAGAGGTTAGCATATACTTGAGAGCTTTAGTTATGTAATCAGAATGATTTTAGTTTGTGCGGCTCGGGGGGGAAAAAACACTGCTGGTCATTTCAGTTGTGTTTTAGCATAAGGAGGAAACACGTGTAACCTACGTGCCTTTTTTAGAAAACCATTTGTCCCGTTCCATAGTCAGTTGCTTTGAAGTCCAAACATGGAGAGATGGATGCTCTGGAATCACACTGAATAACTCACTCACTTCTGATGTTCGTTAAAATCTCTGCAACAGAAAAAAGATTAGTACTGCAATGTTGATTAAGACATGACAGGTTATAAATATAAGTTTTACATTAGTTACATCTCATTCACAGATGCATGCATTAGTCGCCACATTATGGCTTGTGTGGTAAGTAGTATTAGGTCGCTAGAGGGTCCAATGCCAGCCCTACGGTAGCAAATATCTGTAATAGATATCCATGTTTGTCTGGTCCTCACATGTGTAGGGTCTCAGCTACAACTTGCCCAACAAATGTCAATGACAGGGCGAGAAGGTCAAATCTATACTGTGAACATGTTAATCAGAATAATTCAGCTTCTAATGACAGTGCCCACGTTAGCCATCAGCAGCAGTTTTTGTTTGACATTAGTTATCTCAGTGTTTCCCACAGATTTATTTCAATTTTTTTGGTAAAGGAGGTTCACGTTCATGAAGGTCACTCTAACAGATTCCAAGTAAAAGGTACGTGAAACATAAGTTCTCGCGTGAGTGAAAGAATTGCATTGATGCCTCAACTGTAGCTGAAACTATGAGTTCTGTGTCTGCATGAACAGTAAAAACATTATGGACTGCAGCGAGAACAAGCGGTCGCACAACCATATGGAAGTGCGACAGCCTGAGTAAGCAGGCTGCAAATAATGCTGCACACAAGTAAGAGATCTCTTTTATTATGAGGTGGGTCAAATTAAATATGGTTGGCTGCTGAAGTCTAAATAATTAATGGGAAACACTGGTTTAATTTAATAAATCACGTGCACATGACTATTGGAGAATGAGATGGGTGCAGAGAAGAAAACAGATTCCCTAAAGTAAATCAAACTAACTACAAAGTATGTAGATGAAACCCTGCAGGTAATGTTTAAAACAAAAACATTGTTTTTGAAACACACAAGCTGATTTTCACTGGACAGGTTAATCTCTTCAAGCAAGTTCTTTTCCCAGTCTGTGTATGTGTGTTCATATGTCTAATCAGTCCACATATACAGGTTAAAGGTTATATTCTTTCTCATTAATGAGGATGAATCATGAACAAATGTCAGTATGAGCCATCTAAGCTCTTGGAAGCAGCCGTGTGTATTAACTGCTGAGCTTTACAAATAAATGAAAGCTAGTTTAATACTACAGTTGTGTAAGACTTAAGCCCAATTAATGCTCCTGCGTTGAAGCTATGTCATATATACCCACGTAGTCTACACATGTGGGCGAACAGCTCTTGCTGTACATTTTTTGGGGAGGTGCACATCAGGGTAAGGTGTCAGGCACTGTGTACACGTCTACGTATATGCTATGCTTAGCTTTGACGCAGAAGCATTAATTGGAATTCAGGCTGCTCCTCTCTGCATTAACATATTTTTGCAAATAACTGGCCATGTTCACCTCATCTACACCCTGAAACTCAAAATGAATTTTCACATATTTATAAGCAATTAGACATATTTTATGCAAGTGGTAATTTAGATGTAGTTAAGCAGGTTCATATTTCCCATCTCAAGTTTTACCTGCTTTGTGAACTGATCAACATTACCTCACATAAAGCCTGGAACATTTTCCACTGCCCTAAACTTTGTCAGAAATGTGGTGTAGATGTGTTATAAACTGACAAAATTGCCCATCAATTTACACAGTAACCCATAAGGACAAATGAGAATGATTTTACAAATATTAGCCACTTATTTCATTGACTTTAGGGTTTTGTTGAAGCATCCTGACAGCAAATACAGCTTCTGAATTCAGTTGATATCAGTTTAGCACACCTGGATCTGGGCAGTTCATCCTGTAATCTCAAAATCTGTCAGATTAGATGAGAAACTGTGAGCGGCAGCTTCACGTCTCTCAGATGTTCTGTGGGGTTCAAGTCTGGGCCTCAAGGACAGTCAGAAAGCTTCAGAAGCTTTTTCACTCAAAGCTGAACCGTCATCATTCTACCCAAAGGGATTATGCTCTCTTTTCCCTCCTCTTAAAATGCTCTTTGACAAACTCAGGGCAGACTGTCATATGCCTTTGAAACTATTGGAGTACTGCTGAGATGGTCATCCTTCCACCAGGTTCTACCATCTCTGAGTATTTCTGAAGCTCTGTTTGAGAGATCTTTGAATGATTAATGTCACCCTGACACCCTTGCCCAGTTTCTCAGTTTGGAGAGAAGTTGGCCAAAAGACCAACTATAGAAAGAGTCCTGCTCAGTTCACATTTTACAATTACCAATGCCGCTGCGCTTTTGTGAACACACAAAGCTTTACAAATTGTTTTATTTATATATTTTGATCTATGCGTCACCACAATTTTATCTTTTAGTGTAAGCTAATGCCTTTTTAAACAGTGCGGAATCATTTCATTTTGTCACAGGTGAGCTCCAGTGAGGTTCTAGAGAAATCTAAAACGGGATGTACCTGATATCAGTTTGTAGTGCTACATTTCAGTATTTTAATAAAATGATTTTAATTCATTTGCAAAAATGACTAAAACACTGACTTTGGGCTGTTGAGTCTAGGTTGATGGGTAAACATTGTCAATTTAAAATACAATCTTCAACACAACAAAGTGCAAATAGTTAAGAGTTCTGAATTATCTTTGAGACCTCTGCATCTGTTTTAAACCCCAAACAGCACACATCACACTATCCTCCATCTTGCTCTCTGCCACTTTCTTATAATGCTGGGGCTTAGCAGTAGCATTTACTTCTGACTGTACCCCACCCCACCTGCAGACACTAATCACAGGCAAGTTTTTACCAAGTTTGGATATAAAGTGGGTGCTATAAGCGCCACTGTGTTGCCTCACGGCTGTTGTATGATTAATGTCATGTTTTATTGTGTCCTACTACTCTCATCTGGCCATATCCCTAACATCACTGTATAGACGTGACTTTGTTTTATAGAGAACTGAAGGCCTGTTTGTCCTGTCCTCTACTCTTCTCCAACCCTGCTCGGGACTATGTTAGGCTCAAGTTAACCTTCAGGAGCAAGAGGAGACATGGGGCTGGGTGACTGCTGTGGCAACATGCTCACAGAGACAGCGAGGGATCTGTTGAAGTAAATAGCACTTTAATTGTGAATTTGTGTTCTGCAGTGCAGTCTGCAAGTGTTGGGACAGTTACACGTTTTTGTTATGTTGGCTCTTCACTCCATCATGTTTGATGTGAGATGAGTTGGGCTTAGTGACTTGCAGCTTGAACTGAAATCATATTGGGTGAACATGGTAGAAATTGTGCCAGTTTTTGTGTTTGGTCTTCAAATGAAAACTGCCAATGGTTACAGCTGCTTTCAGACATGCACTGAACTCCGGATAATCTGGACATTTTGCAAAGAGGCTGCATTTAGGAACACAAATTTGAGAGACTCCAGACTTTCTCTTGAGTTTCTCTGGCCAGCCCCTTCGGAGAATGTCCGAATAAGTCCATGTGAGAACACAGCAGGAGATTTCACCAGCGAGTTGGTGTGTTGACATTTCTAATACATGACACATGCAAAACTGAAGAAACACACTAAAAAGAATACAAATATCTCGGTATGAAGTGCCATACATGTAGAAGATGCTTTTGGCTGCCTGCTGCACACCTGTCCTCTGAATTTGTGCCCATTTGGCCGGGATACTGAACCCCAAATTGGCCTGTGCCCTTCTCATAGAAAAAGTGCTGCCCATGGATGCACTGTATGAATGTGAATGGTTGAATGGCAAAAAACAAAAACCTGTACTCTAAAGCGCTTTGAAAGATCATCAAGACTAGAAAAGTGCATCTAAATACAGATCATTCATGTCTGAAATGGCTATACAAGAGCAGACACTTTGTGGTGATGTTCAGTGAGACATGTAACTGCAGCCATTTTCATTTTGGCTTGTTGTCGGAGCTTGTTGACTTCACTCAGATTGTCAACAAGTGAAAAGTCCTCTATGGCACTGAGGTTAAGACTTGGCCAGTCAAGGACATAAAGTTTCCTTGGCTGCCTTGTTCATATGATAATAATCCTTGTTAGACTGCTTTATCTTGAAATTGCAGAGAACCATGTGTTCCCACGCTGCTCACCCAATATGGATTTGAACAGTCTGAAATGTGAGGGGAAGAAACTGGGAGTTAGCACTTTAACCTCATAGTCATTGTTTCATGACCAGTACGCTGCAGTTCAAATCGTCTCACTGTCCAAATACTTGTAGCCGGCACTGGGTGTGTTTTAGCTCAAGATGGCGAGACTTGTGTGAGTGTGAGGAAAAAAGCCGGCAGTCCTAAAATAACGCTGCAGACAATGCGTGTGTGTGTTACGTGGTAGTATATAAGTGAATGGACAGAGCCACAGAGGGTTCTGGTGGAGGGGAATGCAGAGTCGGATGTGAGGGGTGACGACAGTGACTCCAATGAACGCCTCTCTGACCCGTCCCCTTCACCCCCACCCTCACCCCTCTTATTCTCAGGCAGGCGCGTCGCAAAGGAGAGTCCCAGGACCCTCTCAACCCAGTTTTCCCCATGGGAAATAATCTGACATTAAGCGTAGCACATGTTTGCCATATAACCCATAGATTTTAGTAGAAGAAGAAAAAAAAACATTGTATGTATGATGAATGATAGAAATGTGTAATAAGAGCCTGAAAAAAAAGACATTTTATTCTTCTGTGGTGCATCAGCTGTCTGTCACACACCATAACACTTCTTCTAACACCTGCACTAAACACACACACACCCCCCCACTACCCCACCCTAAGCTAGGGATGTGTATGGACCACATTTAGCAGCACCACCTTTCTTAGTGACCCCCCCCCCCCTCAAAAAAGGGACAACAAAGATGGGTGTTTCTGTGTATATTCTATGTTGTTATAAAAAAAAAATGCCATGAATTGAACTATTTTGACCTTACATTGTCATTAGCATGACACTATTTAGCTGCACTAAGAGATCCTCGTTTGTTGCAAGAAACCACTGGGTCTGCTCCGGATGAGGGACAGGCTGGTTTATGTCACGATCAACAGCAACACCCCTGGATGTAGGACCACCCCACCCACCTCGGTACGACTCACGGTTTCAGACCTTTGAGGACAAAAAGATGTTTTAAAGATTTCTTTTCATCTTCCCATATATATTTTAGAAAGCTGAGTTAAGTGCTATATGCAAACAGAAAAGATGTATGAAAGAATTATTTTTCATTATTACTTCTCCCTAATATGCAATGGAGTGTAGTGTAACAATGGTTGCAATCCTCTGTCACTTTAATGCTGTACGTGCACATTGGTTGCTGTGTGGATGTGGGTGCTGAGGCAACAGGACTTGACAATGATGGGAACTAATGGTTGTCACTCTGCAGCGCCGCCGTGTTCCCAGACTGCCTTATTCGCTCTGACCATTCACAAGAGCCCTTTTTGAAAACCAGGGGGTGCAGCCACTGCCACGGGCTGACCAAGCCGTAGTCAGACGAATATCGCTGTTCCATTTTCTTCTGCTTTTCCCTTGCTTTCTTCTTTTTTTTATCTTTTCTTTCTTTTTCTCTTCTTCTGCTGTCAGTTAGGATTTGGAGCGTGTAAATGGCATAATCATGTTCACATCTCACTGTCTGTTCTGTGTATCTGCTTCACCATTCAATGAAAAAAAAAAACAGTTGTTTTCCAGTATAACCTGTTCATTTTTAAGAGCCGTATGGTGCGACACTTGTAGCTGTCACTCTTGGTGCTTGGCTTATGCTTCATTGTCTTAATATTCCAAATAAAACTGTTAAGTGTAATCCACACTGGCCCATGATATAGTATCACAGATGTTTTTGTTTTCCTTCATTGTGCTGCAGTTCACTTTCTACTGGTGTTACTCTTCAACCAATACACTGAGGTGTGATCGTGTGTTGATAAGATCATTCTAAAATCTAGATTTCATTGAGTAGAGGTATCAGGTCAAATGTTTCACTTAAAGGTACAGTGTGTAGAATTTTGTGATATCTAGTGTTGAAATTGCATGTTGCAGCTGAACACCCCTCACCTCACCCTCTCCTTCCAAAAGTGAAAAAGAACCTGTGTTAATTTTCATAAAAACTCAAAAGATGTTTAGTTTGTCCAGTCTGGACTAAAACACGGCGGCCTCCGTAGAGAGGACACCCTTGATGTAAATATAAAGTATTTCAATATAAATGGGTAAAGAAAACTACAATTCATACAATTTAGATGAAATRAACTAGTGAAAACATCATGAGGATTATTCTACATTAAATTTCTGCCAATAGTTCCCTTTCACCTAAAACTTACACACTGGACCTTTAAAGTTATTCACTTAATAAACCAATCAATTTTATTTGTATATTTTTTTTTCAAACAGGCTAGTGCTGTTCAAAGTGCTTTACAATGATAGTAGATCAAATATATTTTACACTGTTTTAAAAACTTTTCACACTATATATTCTGTTTACACCATATGTATGTTATTTCTGTTCTATTTATATATTTCCTTGTGGTTATATTGAATGTTTCCTTATTACCTTATTACTATATTTTAGTACTTATTACTGTCGTCTTTGCACCTGTAAAGGTAAGTACAATAAATAGAAGAAATAAAAGTTAATAAAATGGAATTAAAAACATACTATTAACAGATTACATTTACTGAAATTCTAAACAAAGATGCAGTAAAATCTATTAACCATTAATAAAAAGCTAGCCTTAAAAAGAGGTTTTAAAGCTTGTGTTGAAACATCCAGCGGCATTAGGCATAAATGCTAAAGGTTGCCTCACCAAAGGTTCATGTCTGACACTGACTGATTAACGGATTCGTACCAGAGGAGCCGTACTGGTTCATACACATAAGTAGCAGGTTGTACATGAGGCATGTGGTGAAAATCACGAATGATTTCAGAAAGAAAGATTCACTTAAAACATCCAAAACCTTAATTGGTAATCATTTAACATTCACCATATTTACAGTTGTGACCTCTGGCTTAGGTTGAGGACAGACTGCGAGGTGTAGTTCATTGGTGTGACAGGCGACACATTTGAATCTTTTTAGGGCCTTTTTACTCTTGACAATAAATTGAATAACAGGCTTAAGATTTCCTGATTTAATTTCAAATTGCTGTTCCTCCAGATGACACAAACACAATTATTGAGAGGTCACGTCCAACAACATCCCTGTTGACTGTTTCAGTTTTAGACAACTGTAAGTGTTCAGCTGGAGGCAATGTACAAACTAATAAGATGATAAGTCAAAATCAAATATTGCATAAGATTCCAGAGTGACAAAATCAACCCCCTCAGGAGAAGAGCAAAGCGTGAAGAGCCACAAGAAGCTGTGAAACACTAATCCAACAATGAAGTTCTCTTCCCTTCGGCTGAGTGTCACCACATAGAGTATAGTCTATTTTCAGTTCAGATACCTAAAGGATGCAAATATTTTTCTTTACTTGCTTCCACAAATTTAACATGAGTTTACACTTGCACGAGACAATTATTTTGTAGTTAAAGCTAGACCCCAGCTACACCAGTTTATTACAGTTCTGTGAAGGCCACAGACATCAGCTTTCTTTTTTTTTCTAGACAACTTAATTTAATGATGGCTATCGAGACAAAGGATTTCAACAAATAAGATAAAAAGTGATTCAGAAACAACTTACCAGCCCTATCTTTTACGATACATAAAACATCACTATTCAGTACTGCAAGCCTCAGTTGCAGTTTGGAAGCCATGATGCTGTTTTTCTAACCAAGGTTACCGATATGAAACCTCATGCAGAGACTGTTTGAGTCAATGGAATGTTACCTGGACTGTAGGTCCTACAAGGAAAGCAACATGGAAGTGGGTGATGTGTCTGGACCCCCCCTAAAAAAGCAAGAACAGCTTCACCAGTGGGGGGCCTCCACCTGTCTACTGGAGAGCACAGAGAGCAAAGAAAAACTGATACAGATAACAGATGTTTCTCTGGGTGCAAGTTCAAACGAGTCTAAATGAACTATGAGCATGCTAAAATATGAAAATAGCCTATTTTTTTTAATACATTGATTAATACTCACTTTACTTATTTAATCTAAAGATTAAGTCTTTATTTGGACTGATATTGGTGATGACAATTCAAATCGAGTAGGAAGCATGAAAAACAAATGAAAAGACTCACACGTGCTGCAGTATTCTGAGCTCCACCCTGTAGTCTCACCTTTAGTATGCAGCTGCTGATTCAACAGTTCTCCCCAATAGACCAACAACCCCCACACCCCTCACCCCTCCTGACCGCTCAGCCGTGCTCTCAGTCCAAACTCCCCTCACTGTGCCCAGCAGCAGTGGCTCTGCAGACAGACATGGCCAAGCTGCCTGGAACTTCACAGTTAAGTATTTGTTCATTTGAAATGAAGTATAAATAGCATGTGGGTTATCGGTTTCAAGTTAGCTACCCAAGGCTTATGAATAATTGACGCTCACCCAGGAGGGTGAGCTACCGCACAGGGTAGGAAACTGTCTGTCGGCTCAGAGGACAAGAAACCGACAAAAAAGAAATAAATTCATAAAAACTTATGACTGTACATTCATATCCATGCTCTCCAAACATGGCCTCAAGTCCCTGCTCAACCTACTGGCACAGCCTGAATAGAAACCGAGCAAAAGCTATCCAGCAATAAGTTGTGGAATCAGGAGTTGGATGTGGGTCACTGACAAAAGGAGGAGGAGGAGGAGGAAAGTGCATATGATGAAGGTCTTGTCAGCTTATCAGCCGGCCAAACCCAGCAGATTTCATCTCTGCGTAGCCCATTCAGCTCTGTCCTAGACGCCTCCTTATCGGCCCAGCGTGCCATGCGGCCGCCACTGTGCACACGGCTCTATCTCTGGTTTGCACATTGAGCTGCAACGAGCGGTTGATGTTGGCAGCTACATCAAAAGACAAGTCGGGGGTAAGAACCATCACGCTGCTATCAAGATAAAAGTTTTTCATCTGCTGTTCCTTGCCAAGAACGTCATTATGTATTTTAATGTCATTTTATAATCAGGGTTCACTTGAAAATACAGGATGTTTTGGGGTAAGCTGTATATAATAATGCTCTTAAACTGCCTGGTTCCAAGTGTTGTCACATGTGAAGCACTCTCCATGCTTTACTTTATGCTGTGGTGCGTGGGAAAGTGGGGTTTGGTTTGGTAGAATATTTCAAGAACATCACATACTGCAGTAATTGAACGAATAGTTGCGTATGTGCATGTATGTGTGGAGGTGGCTGGTAGAGCACCCCCACATGTACAAGAGGATCAATCAGTGCAGGTGAGAGCTGTTAGCTGATTGACCCTCAGCTTTATAGGCAGCAGCAGAGCGGAGTCACACAGGACACAAGACACTTGGAAGACACCAGAGACATGAGAGACACTGAGCTGCAAAGACAGACCCCAGCAGGAAGTGTTGGGACTTTATGTTGAGTTTAATTTATGTTTAAACTTATGTTGCAAAGTAGCAGAACCGTCTCTGGCTGTGTGGGGGAGAGCCCAGTGGCATGGTCAATTGCCACAGTATGTTTTTATAGTATCATTTAAGCAGACCTGGATCTTGACTGTTCAGATTGGGGCGGCAATTAGAAATTCAGGGTGGGCACCTTTTAACACAGTAGACTTAGCATTGAGAGTTTTTCCAAGTTTTAAGGAATGTTTCACAATAGGAAAATGAACCAAGCTGTGGTATAATACTAGTAATTATTATTATTATATTTTTTTTACACAGACTATCCCTTTTTAACTTTATTACATCTGTGCTGAAACCCACATGCAGGTGATGAGTTCCATTAAGGAAGCTGTGAAGAAACGACGATGCAATTAAAAACTGAAGGTTCTTTTCTAATGATACAGGTTAAATTAATTAAAAATATGTTACAAAAATGCCAGGTCTGCTTTCATCATTCAAATGAAGATCAATTCTTGTTTATTGAAACCCAGTCCTATGTCCAACCAGCAATTCAGAACTCAGGGAATTCTGATAATAAACGTGATTGGCAGATTCAAATGGAACAGAATAGAGTTGATTAGTTTGGTGGGCAGAATAGAAATTTGGGTTGGCATTGCCCACCCCTGCCCACTTCTAAATCCAGGCCCACATTCCCCTGAGCCCAAGAACAGCACAGATAAAGAGACATGGTTATAAAGTTCAGTTCATGAGCAAGTGTGTAGGCTTAGCTCCATAGACTATAAAGATGGACTATGGGACTGCTGCCCGAAAGTAAAGCCAAATTTTATCAATCGCCACTGGCTGCAGCATAGGTCATAAATCCCAACTCTGCTGCATTAGTGGATAGGTCATGGACCAAACTAAAAAATCAAGGACATCAAATACAATAATTCAAACATGGTTTACATTTTATAACATGTGTAGCGTTAGCTGTTGAGTTTAAGTGTGTTACTTAAGCATTGGATGTTCCGTTGCTTGCTGGGGCCATTAACTCGGTTAATAACCAAAGCACAGTGAATCCTGGGATAGGTTGGGCTGGTAGAGATCCATCCATTGGATCCTTTGTTTCTTATGGATGACAGGACAAGTTTATCTGCATTTGAAGGACCCTTCGAAATGATGACATGATGCGACCCCTGAATTGAGACACAGCTCTGGTTTAGCATAATCCACTAATAATGACTGACAAGAGCGATTGTGCTGACCCAATGCATTTCTGTAAAGAGAAACAGGCTCCAATTTCAGAAACAATGCTAATTCAAAAAAAACATGAAAACACAAACCAAATACAACAATGGTAACAAATGCAAATAAAAAAACATGCAATGTGAGGCCAAAATAAACACAC